CATGCTTTGATCATACACAGCAGAACACCTTGGGCATATCAAGCATTTGGTTGCCCCTTTATAGCAGCGAAGCACAAATTCCAGCAAACTTTCTCCAGCTTTAGGATAACACCTGAATAGCTGGTTATCCTGGCGCCAGTTGTTGCCAGTTCGCGCCCTTTGTACCCTTTCGAAGTTTGCAGCGATTCTCTGGTTGCAGAGGATGCTGCACCTAGGGCATATTATCATTCCTATATCTCCTTTGTGGCACATCATGAGGTAATCCTTAAGGCTAGCATCTCCAGCATGATTATCCTCCATTTTATACTTTTCTTTTTCTAAGTATCTCTCCACCTCCTCCATTTCGGAACGAGGTCTCTCCATATCCACCATGTTTACCTCAACATCCTCCCCCTTAGTGTCATCATCTCCCCAACCTGTAGGTTTTATATCTTCAATTTGGACCTTTGAACTCTCTGAGGCAGAATATTTGACCAAGTAGTCAAACTTTCCACTGGGTTCCCCTAAAGTATCCCATATTTCTTTCTGAGGGGAGGTTGGCTTCGTGATTTGGACTTTCTCCAATTCTAGCCTCAGGCCTTCAGTAACCTGTGTCAATTCTTGGTTTTGGTTTTCCTGGCCTTCAGTAGCCTGGATTTCTTTTGCAACAGCTAAAGGTGCTGCTTCAATCGAAGTCTCTGGTTGCTTGTGGACGTCTTCAGTGACCCCCCTATTGACTTCGACTATCACCCAACTTTCATTTTCAGTACCTTTCTCTCCTACTGGGGCGTCACTTTGGTCAGCTTCCACCATGTTAATTTCCCCAATGCATGCAGGCTCAGAGTAATTGGTGTCTGCGACGTCCAAAGGATCTTCATCTACTTTCATTTTCGCTTTATCAGCGAACTTCAGTCTGCCATCTTTAATTGCATTCTGAATTAGGTCCCTGAAAAGAAAACACTGTGAGGTTTTGTGACCTAGGAAACTATGATACTTGCAAAATTCTCTTTTCTTTCTTTGATCTAAAGGAGGTATTTTGACATTTGATGGCACAATGAGTTGGCCATCTTTGACAAGTAAATCAAAAATCTCGTCACACTTAGTGACATCGAAGGTATAAACCTTCTTTGGGAATTTGTCACTTTTCTCATTTTCAACAATTTCTTTCCCTTTTGTGGGAACTAATAATTTGCAGGAGTAAGGTGGTGCCTATTTTAATTCAGCGAGGTCGATTTCGACCTCTTCGAATTCGAATTCAGGATAATCTTCTGTTTCCTCAGTTCCAACATAGGAGATCCTTTCCTTCTTGTTATTTTTAAAGACTCTGGCCTTTTCGGCCTTTAGCCTTTCGACCTGTCGAACCCTATCGGCTAATTGAGCCATATCCCTCAAGTATTGAGTGCCTAATTTCTTTCGAATAGAATAATCCAGGCCGCCAGCAGCCATTTCGACTAACTCATGTTCAGGAACTACTGTAAAACATCTAGATTTCAAGAGCCTGAATCTATTCAGATAATCATCTATGGGTTCAGTAAACTTCCTCTTGACACTGGCTAGTTCCTTCAGACTTATTTTTGATTGTCCCATGTAGAACTGTTCATGGAACAATCTCTCCAAAAGAGCCCAAGTATCAATGGACCCAGGAGGCAAAGTGGTGAACCATGTGAAAGCGTTCTTAGTCAGGGAACTTGGGAAATATTTGATCCTAAGGTCTTCATTATTGGCTATATCTCCTGCTTCGGTTAGATACCTAGCTACATGTTCGACTGTTGACTCATTGGTATCCCCAGCAAACTTTGTAAACTTAGGGACTTTATATCCCCTTGGTAAATCAGTGTGCATTATGTAATCTAATATAGGGGAGGCATAATTTGGCCTTCTAATTCCTGTGTTGAGGCCATTCTGGGTCATGATTCTCTCTATCATGGTGGTTAAATTATTTTCTGCCAAGATGTTATCGTTTCGAATTCTATGAACGACTGCATCAGTATCTTGATTTCGACCCACCATGACAACCCCTCTAGGTTGTTCTTCTCGAAACTCTGGGACTTCTAGCCTTTCGACCCTTGCCCCTGGTTCAATAATTTCCCTTTGTGGGCCTTGGATCATTGGGGCTTCTAGCCTTTGTGCCCTTGCCCCCAAATTAACCTCCTCTCTGGCTGGTCTATAGGGTGGGTCGTTAGCAACTTGTTCTATAATAGGTACGTTCGCTCGAACTCCCGCCTGATTCTGCCTACGCCTCTCTGGGGGAGCGAAGAAATCTGCTATTCGACTCATATTATCTGCGTTTTCTCTGTTTGTCACAATCACATTTTGTACTATTGGGGCAAATATCTCCTGCATAGTTTGTGCTAATACTCCTATCATATTATGGTTACTGTCATCCATTAATTGCCTAAAAGCCAACTGGTTTTCTGTGGTTAAGATAGGCATTGCACTATAACCCACTGACCCTTGGTTATTTGTCATAAACTGATTTGCCCCAGACCCAGACCCTAATTGTGGTGATGAATTCGATGTGGAATTGTGTAAGTCTGCCATAAAAGATGTTGGCATTCCATAAGAGGAATTTCTGGTTCTATTACCATCGAAACCGGGTGGTCTAGTTAGTGGGGTGGCGAAATGGGTTTGTGTCCCTGATGGTGGGACGAATCCCCCAGGATAACCAATGGTTCCAGTATTTCCTAGGATTGAACTGTTAGTTGATATGCCACTTGTTCCATTAGTGGCTATATTACTGGTAGAGGATGCAACAGACTGTGCATTCGAAGGGATCACATTAGATGTTCCCATCGAGGCGGAGATATTAGTGCCTGTTGTATGTGGGGCATTTTGTTCCCCTTGTTGATTGTCAGAATTAGACATCTCGTTCAAACGTTTTCTTCTGGATAAGGGTTGGTTGCTATTGGTTATTCTACCACTTCTAAGGTTCATAAAACAACAAACTTATCACTCAGAGAGTATTTTTACAATGGTTATGTCTCAATAATTTTTACTTTGTTCTAAATTCCATAATGGCCAATGACGGGTCCCATCAGGTGTGCCAATTTGTTTACAGTGATTTCTGGTAAACAACCGCTAGTCCTCCAAACTATCGAATAATCTTAATGACTGTTATTCAATCTCTCTGGTAACTCGCAGGATCGACTAGATTGATCCTAGGATGTATTGGTCATTTGGATAACTCTCATTATAGAACTGATATTCATGGTTGGTATTTAGAATGTTGTGTAGGTGTTTAACTTACTTCGATTAATCTATTAGAGATCTAAAGGCGTGATCAAGTAAATGCGCGCGAAACTAAATTGCATGAATAAAGTTCAATTGTAAAGACATGTAAAACTGTAGAAAAGACAAGTAAATGACTTCGAAGCATAAAAACATGTAATGTAAAAGATTCTCTGGAATGTAAAAGATTCGAAGTATGAAGAAAGTGTTTAAATGCAAGAAATCAATAAAATGACTTTGGGTGAAAAAGGTATTCGAATGATAAAAGCTTGAAGATAAAGGCATGAAATATACAAAAGTTTCTGAAATGTAAAGAATTTGGAATGGAAAGAAAACATTTAAATGTAAGGCATCAGTAAAAAGACTTCGAATGAAAATACTTGAATGTAAAGGCTTTTGAATGATATTGACATGAAGATAGAGGAAAATACTGGAAATGATAAAGAGTTTTATTAAATCATAAACACTTGGTGCTATCATACGTACATTGCTCGTGCATTCGTTTCCCTAGCCATGTGGTATTTTGAATGTTTACTGATTTTTTTGTACAATAGATATGACACACGAAATCCTAATGCTAAGACTTCTATTTATACTACTTCGACCATAACGGTCTTGCTATAAGATTCTGCCACGTTCAGAACATGCAGAGCAATGCCTCTCTCTAGCTTCCATGCGTCTTTGAATGCTCCAGCGCATATATTTTAAATTTCGAACATCCCGCTTGCATTTGAATTTCAAATGTTTTGGCACTTCTTCGCTTCGAACGCATTTCTTGGACACAGCCTTGTTACCACTTCGAGACTTCTTTTGAAGATATCCTCATAACTGTCACTCGAAGCTCCAAGCTTTGATATGCCCATTCGAAGTACTGCTTCTACCATTTCGAAACATGACATCCTGCTTTATTCCAATCGAAACATCCAACTTGCTTTGCTTCGAATAATATCATCAAAATCTTCAGCCAACATACGTATGATACACCCATTTAATATAAATGCATTTACTTTCTGCAGAATTCCCAGTAACATTTACTTAAGTCTTTTACCATTTCAAGTTTAGAAGTAATTTTACTTTCACTTTATATGCATTTTAATTCGACATTTGAAGTCATTTGTCTTCATATACAAAACATGTTAAATACAACAATCAAGTTAAAAGATTAATAAAGACACTCGTGTCCTGAGATCAATCTGATCGATCTCGCAAGTAACTGGATCCGTGAAAGGATTTGGAAGATCAGCGATTGTTTACCAAAATTCGAGGGTAAACACTAACGTGGTTACATTTTGAAACTTAAGGGACCAATTTAGCACGAAAAAAAGATAAGAGATCACCATGACTTATAGTTAAGGGACTAAAATAAATATTTTGCATAGTTAGATACATTGTTATTACAATTAATTTATTAATGAATTTAAATATCTTACAATTGCAAAATACATCTTCTCGGTAGAAAAGTAGATGCCACAAGTATATATGTCTAATATTGAGGGAGTGTTAATGCTCGAAAGAGAGAGAGAGAGATCGGCAAGGCCCTTATGACAGAATTGATGAAATTATACGAATTTCTTATTCCAATGGAGTGTTTGAATTATGTTATGTGTTGAATGGGTTGATTATTCAGTCATTGTTAACTACACACTATTGTGGGTCTCATAGATCACCTTATAAAAGCTTATGACAAAGATATCCATTTTCACCATGCATGATGTTAAGATTTGTACTAGAAGGAAGACATTGATGGTGTCAAGATGTTTGTCTTAGTGAATCTATCATTTCTCACTTCTTATTTGTATATAATTGGATCTTATTTATTTAGGGCAAATAATCATGAAACTGCATCCACGAAAAATATTCTAATTTTGTACGGACGTTGTAAGAACATTTGGATTATTACTAATATTAAAAATACAAAAAGAATTCTGCAACAATGCTCTTTAATATTTTCTAGAAGCAATTTTAAGTTTTTGGAAGCAAAGAAACAACAAGTTCTTGAGCAATATTGTTGAGTAACAGGGAGCTGTTCTTTTTCAATCTTGATAAGCTGGCAAGAAATTAAAAACAGTAAATCCTGCAGATTAATACCAGCAAGAGTATCAAAGCTTCAGTTAGCCCTCAGAACTTCATAGAATGACACTGGCCGTTTCTTTGACTCACCGCTGAGTTTCTGAATAAATTAGGAAGTATGAAAAACATCAATTATTAATATATACATAGTCGGCATAGAAATGTTTTAGACATTTATAAATATCATCTAATAAGTATGACAAAATGACGCGGACACCGGACCTGATATCAACACTGACACGACTCTGGATCTGACACCAATTTCGACGTGTTGAAACCGATAATAATTTGAAAAAAATTATAAAAGTATAAGTATCATTGTGGTATGTTAGACATCAACCACACATTTGAAAGTAGTTTTTTAAATGAATCAAATGATGTGATCATGTGACAATGACAGTACATTGGATCCATGTTAACGAAGTTTTAACACAGTTTTAAACTATAATAGTTGTATATAGAAAGGAAATAATTCATAAATTAACACAAACTGTAACGAGGCCTTAAGTATCAACACTTACTATAGTTAATTGGTTATGCATGAAAATACACGTACCTCAACTGCAAATGCTACACGCAAAATAGTAGCTTCTGCCCATGGTCGGCCAATTATTTGCAAACCTATTGGAAGTCCTTTTTTATCGTAACCCACCTATAAATGGAGCATGTCAGTTAAAAGAATAAACAGTATAAAAGATATAAATAGTATATTAATTTAAATAAAAAAAGAATAAACATTATATTCGTGAGAACTTCAATTGTTAAATGAACTTCTGGTGGTATTATCTAAAGTAACTTTGAACATGGGGGCCTCTAACTGTTGGTGATGGAAATGAGATTAGGGTGGGAAGTATACAGTCAAGCAAGTCTGTTGAACTTTAATATGTTGTCACTATCAAAATGAATGCATGTGAAAAAGATTGTAGAAGGGGCAGAGCTGAAAGCTTAGACTTGGCTAACTGCGAGATTATCTGGTTTTAGATACACTAGTTCATTTTGGTTGACTAATCCTGCTGCATCATTGGGTGTTTCTGAAAATTATGGCGCATGCTTATGTGATCTATTTCTTTTGTTGTTTCGTGCATCCCCGCAACGTTTGTTGGGGTTGGGGAGTTAGCAGGATACTCCCTCTAAGATTGGTTTGTAATTCTGTGACCTAGTTTGGCATCACCTGTGCCAAATATTAGCTTCTGTTCAAAAATATTTGCTAGCTTAAAAGATCAGTCTACTAGCAATTATTATGGATTATCTTATTCAAAGTAGCATATTATATAAAAAAACAAAAAGAGACTCTCGAGTGATTGATATCACTCACACTTACCGGGACAGAAATGGCAGGGAATCCCAAAAGATTTGCTGGAACAACGAACCTCATAAGGTAACCTGAGGAAAAAAACTTTTAATTTAAATATATATGCAACAGTAAGTTGCTGTGTACTAGTCGATGAGTTGTTGTAATCATGGCATTTTATTTTAAGTTCTATCATGAATTATTAGGTTTTAACTTCTAAATGTATAATGGGTCAAGATAAGGGTGTCCAATTATACACATCTAATGCAGTTGAAAATTCAAAGAAAGCCTTAAAGGGACAAAAAGATTCTCAAAAGGGTTTTATATTTAGGGACGGAGGTAGTAAGTTCCATTCGGTTGTTTATATATCAAGATTCAATAGTAATAACATAAGGTGATCTCATAATGCTAATTATGATGCTGCTCTGCAAATCCTTATGAAGAAGATATCCTAATCTGATATTTAAAGGTGAAGACAATCACCTGTTGTCTGCATATCTGTTTCACCGTTTTTAAGGGCACTTGGAGGTATGATGGGCGCCGTCATGCTGTTACAAATAAAAGCAGTTCAGCAACAATAACAAAGCTTTCCAAAATAAGTTGCGGTTCAATTTTGTAAACATCTGTTTCCATAATTATACACATATAACATACACTTGTTTTTCTGTCCCACCCTCCCCAAAATTATACACAATAACATACAATATGTGCCGCATCTAGAACTGATCAAAGACAAATAATCAGATCTGATAAGATCGGTTAGGCTTTCCTAGTAAGTTTCAATCTCTTTCTTGGTTCAATGACACATGAACAACGTAGATACTATCTGATATTATAATGATAATACGATTGTCTTAATACCAAAAAAAGAAACTATTTAACAAATGTCATATGTATTGTTATCCCGATTAAAAAAAAAATCAACTTTTAATCCTGCCAAAGAATTATACATGAACCCAGACCACATATAAATTAAATTGAAGAAAGTACAATGGTTCATTACAGTGAAGTGAATTTCTACTATAATTGTTTATTATACATGCATTGCATACCCAGTTGTTGGAGTCACTATGACATCAACTTTCTTGAAAATCTCCATGAAGTAATGCATATTCCTTCTCCTGAAACATATAAAATGAAGTTTAGAAGTTACATTCACAACAATTTTTAAGTACAGTTTACATTTGAATGAAAAAGATGTAAATTTGGTATATTTATAATAAACTCTTGTGTTACCTAATACATTGCGCTGCAATATAATCTGCAGCTGTAAACGACCGAAAAAGTGCCAAACTTGTGCGGGTATCATATGTCAATTTTACGTCTTTCCTATGAAAGAAAAGTAAGGAAACCACCATAAATTTCTCATTAAAACTTCTAGATGAGAAGGATGCCTTTAAACATAAAACTAAATTGCCTTGTTAGAATCAGACTACAAAATGAAATTACTAACACTAAAGCTTCAATCTACTCAAACATACATTCTCAAAACAAACAAAAAAAGAAATATACTCAAACCGACCCCTCTTCACAATCGGGATTCAATGAACATAAGCATTCAGAGCCAATCGAAACAACATGGGCAGTTCGCATCTCCAAAATCTCTGGGATAACAACTTCTATCACCTTCAAATATATGATTTTGCGTAATAATTAGACTTGATTGAATCCATCATGCTAAACTAGAAATAAAGTGCAAACAATCGTGCATTACATGATATTACAATGAACTTACTTCACAACCATGCACTTTTGACAGAAGATTAAGAGCATCCTCACATTTATCAGAGACTTCAGTTGAATGGACATTATTGAACCACTTCACAGGAATAAATATGTTGTTTAGAAAAAGTTTCAGATTAGCATATAAAATTCATTTTCAAAGGATAGCGTAGGAAAGCGTGATTACCGGGGTGTACTTCCCTATTCTTAATGATCCCAAAGCATTTGTATCATCATCGAACGACAGAGTTGGTAAACAAGGTGTTGACTACCCAATGAAAAAAAAACAGAGAAATGTAACATCATAATTATCGAGAATAGAATGATTTAAATAACGAACAGAGTATGTAATGGTAGAGTAAGAGCTGGTAATTTAGTATAATAGTTAGTTTATGTCATACAGTTTGGTGAATAAGTAATTATAAAATGGTAATTAACAGAAATGTAACAAAGCTAGAAAAGACAAGTATGCATTAATGAACTTCAAAAGAGGTTTAAACCCAAAAGAGTAAGATCGAAGAGTACAAAACGTTTCTCCATAAAATATACTCATGTTACAATTATATTATATAATTACCTTTTTTACCTCACTCATGGTTATCTATTCTATTATTTCCTTTACATATGGTTCGCTATTTCCCTATTTAGCAAAGCGGATTCCAAAATCACATGATTCTTACCAAATGAACATTCTAAGAAATCTTAGGTTGTCAATCATAAATTTTAAGTCTCTCACAAGCCTAATCTAACAGTGGCATTTGAAATGTTATCTGTTTTTTTCCCTATACCTCAATATTTTCTTAATGATAGTAGTTATCCGCCACAATTAACTTGAGTAAACCGTAGGGTTGCCTGCTTTTTTTCTATGCATAATTAGTACATGACATCTAATTTTCAACATTTTAGTTTCCAATCTCATATCACTGCAACAATATCAATTAAAGGATTAAAGATTACCGGCTTCATACTGATTCTAGTGGCAGGTGATGAGCCCAACATTGCTGCATACCTAAATAATGAGCGCACAAAATATTCAAAATATATATTATCTTCAAGAGGAAGGCTATTTTTATCTGGCCTTTATATTTAACATCAACTATTAATTGTTATCACAAACAATTAAAACGAAACCAAGTATGAGTTCAATTGAAGGGAAACTAAAAAGCATTTAAGTTTAGGAAGCTCTTATTTTTATCTGAAGCGGTGAAGAAAAATGTTTGGCTAGCAACCAGGAGTCATTAATGTTATAAGAAAATTATTATTGCATCACATTGTTAGCGATACTTTCAGTTAAGGCATGACAGCTGGTGCCCGTTCTAGCTGACATGCTGTTAGTGTATGTTACAAAAGTATGCAGTTTCTGTTATAACACCTCGATTTCAGAAACTGTTCCCTTGATTTAAGGGAGTTAGTTAGAAGTTAGTTTAGCCTAACTACAACTCTATAGATAAAGTTGAGTCTATTGTATAGTTAGAAGTTAGTTTAGCCTACCACCTCTTATTCATAATTCCCATCCCATACAAACCAGAGCCAAAAATGGCATTAGACAACCTGGACTACATCCCACCCTGTTACTTGCCCATATAGAACCTTGCACTGTTTCCCAGGTATTTAATGATCAGAACTAGCTTTTTGCAATGAAAGCTGAATATGCAGCTCTTGAAAATAATGGCACTTGGACATTTGTTGAGCCTTCCTAACGCAGGAAACCTATTAGATGCAAATGGGTGTTTAGGGTTAAGGAGAACCCAGATGGTAGTATTAACAAATACAAATATAGACTTGTAGCTAAGGGTTTCCACCAAAAACTTGGTTCAGACTGTACACAAATATTTTTTCTAGTTGTGAAACCTGTGACTATTCGTACTATTCTCACTATTGCTGTCACCAACAGCTGGCCAATTAAGCAAATTGATGTCAATAATGCTT